AGGAGGAGAAAAACTTCTCTACTCAACTCAACTCTCACTCTAAGCTCTCTTTGTGTTTCTCTCTATTTTGTGGTGATCAGCTATCAATGACACTCTTTATTTATAACTGATGTGGGAGATAATCTTCTTCCTTTGATCAACAATGGTGGGCAATATTTTCTTTGGTTAGGCACCCACCATTTGACTCTTACCATGTCAAGCATGGCTGCCACCAACCATATTGTGTCCACACATAACACTGTATCCTAGACCCATCAACCAGAGCATCACTCTTGAATCTTCTCAAAAGGTATAACTGTGTTGTTGTTATTTCTAGCTAACAACTTTATAAAGAGATCAAATATTCTTCAATAGAGAAAAAGAAAACGAGGAAGAAGAAGAAGCAGAATAAGAAGAAGAGAGCATCGTTTTTTTGAAGCAGATTGTGAAGTGAAAATGGAGATTTATCTAGCAAGGCATAAACAAGTAGAGGAGAAACATACACTTGAATTTTCATCTTTTATATAATTTGAATAATAAAATATTCATGACTCCATATTTCATAGAGCGTGAATGTGCAAGGGTGACTTCTTCAATGACTTGAAAAATCCTAAAGGATATATAGTTTGTTGCTATAAACGTTAAATATATGTCCACCAAGTGACAGTGATAAACTGATCCTGCAAGAAAGAACAATTGTAAGAGTGAATTATTGAGAGAAAGAAATAAGAAGAGAACTTAAAATGGACCATTTAGGTCTTTTTGCTCACCTTGGGTAGAAAACTCGAGTTGGTAATGATACAATAAGCTGACAACACTGCGTAGCACATCGCTTATCCCCCAAAAAAGGATCTAGGGATACGCCAAACATTGTCTAAATTGGAGTCTGGCAGTAATTATGGCAATAATGGGGATTCTTTTGCTGATCAATATTTCTATTGCCCACCTCTTTTGCTGGGTCATCGAGATCGTGGAGCACGCTCCACAAATGCACGAGGATCGGGCGAGCAAAGAACGAACCTCCAACCCTTTGCATGGGTAATAATCCGTAACAGCCCTAATTTTCACATATCATTTATACTTCATTTCTTTATGATTAATCCATTTGTTAGTAATTTTTTTTTTAAAAAAAAATTATACATTTGTAATAATAAAAATCTATTGAATTTGGACAAAGTCTTTTTCATACCTTGATTTCAAGTTATCAACTAAAATTTATTCTCAATTTAATAATTATTAAACACAACTTAAACATTGTCCAATCATCTAGACATGTATCAATGAAATTAAAATAATCTTTAATCCTATATTCTAACACTTTCACTATTGTAATTTCCTATTATATATATGTAGATTATCAAAAAAACATCATAAGTTAATCACATTCATTCATAATTATATATGTCATCATTCATAATTATATATGTCATAATAAAGAGTCATAAATTATAAAAATTGATTAACATATTATATTACCAAGCACTGATCTCATTAAAAACTAATACCTTCTTTTCAATTTATCTATATGAATAAAAATTCTACATTGATAATTGTTTTACTTTTAAAAACTTGATAAATAAAAGAATTAAGGTGTTAAACATCTATTTGATGCCGAAGCTCTTATTGTGTTCCCCTGTTATTGCATAGCTCTCAAGACTAGTGTTTTTAAACTAGCCTAGTGGTTGACCCAACCCAAGACTCGAGTTATGGGTTTTGATCGAGTCATTAAGGACAACCTTAATTTTTTTTATAAATAAAAAAGATATTGTTTTGGTTAAAAATAAATAAATAGTCAATAGATTACAATTGAGTTTTAACCGGGTCAACCAGGCCACCAGGTAAATCCTTCGAGTCAACCAGGGTATTGACTTCTCTTATTTTTTCATAAACCTGGCCTAGTTCCAACCCCAGGTCAGTTGAGTTCTGGGTGACCCGCCAGGTCAAGTCGATTTTTAAAACTATGCTCAAGACCTCTTTTGTACCAACAAGTATATATCATTATATTTCATTTCACTCTTACCTCTTTAACAATTTAGTTTTTACATTATAAAAAATCTTAAGCAAAAATAAAAGTCAGTCAAACCCAATCAATCTATTTTGACCATTTAAAACATAGTTTCTTATTATAATTGTAACAAAAGTTATAAAAATTTGGTTTTAAACATGGCTTGTTTCTTATGAAAGCTAATACTTCAAACTATGTTTTTAATGAAAAGAGAAAGCTCAGTTTTCCATTAGCACGCCCAAACCACCTGTTATCATAATTTATCAAAATTATCCATTATAATTTTTAGATTTATCTCATCTCAAATTTTGATCTATATATGAAGTTTTAGAGCTTTAAATTCAGTAAGGTCAGTCTCATTGAAAAACTAATACCTCATGCTATAACTTCTATGAAGAAACCTATCCCAAATATTATCATTTTCACAAATTAATGGCTTTAAGAAATGAGATTGTCCAGTTTTCCTTCCTATGGCTTTATGATAAACCAAACATTCCTATTCAATTTCTCACTTTTCAAAACAATCCTTATCATGTCATTTACATTATAATATCATTAAATATAACTTTATAAAACTTATCAACTTAACTCTTATTCATTTAAAATAATCAAAACTATTTCAAGAAAAAACATGCTCATTGTGAGATTTCATACCAAATTTACATTCCATAATATTAGCATAGTAATATATACTTTCAATTCTTCAAAATAAATTATCATAATTCACACTAACAATAGGATAATAAGATAAAAATATATATTTTCCATTAAGTTTCTCCTTGTACACAAAATCAACCAATTATAAAGATTCTCATGTCTAAGTTCTACAACCAATCTTAAGATTAAAGACATAATTGATTCAATTCATATTACATGATATAACTAAGCTTACCTAAAATGATTTTAAATATAAAATTATGGATTGATAAATTACAATTCACTTAAATAAATACATTTCCATCATGCATTAATTAGCACCATTTTGGCAAGTTATGAATGCCTTTAGGATTACCATGTTTTCTTCATTAATTCTCACTAATTTAACACCCATTATAAATTACTCTAACCCAATTGAGTTAATTTATCATTAATTTATATATTTTTTCAAATTTCTACCATAAACTCTAACATTAATTCTAAGATTTCTACCGTAATTGTTATTAGTTTCATATAAAATTACTAAATTGGATTTAGAACATCTCACTAACTAAACGTTAATTTAGTCTTCAAATCCTAGCCTGTCAAGATTTTCAAAATCCCTCCTTATTTTTTGTCATTACCATGACAACCACTCTAGTTTCTTTTCTTTTCCATAACTTCTTTCCCTTAATAAACTGTTTAAGGATGATAATTCACAATCCCTCTTCAATTTTGTTGGTTTTCTATTGTTTTTTTCATAAGAATTCTTTTTAATTTTTTTATTTTTCTTTCTCTCTTTTTTTCATGTTACTTCTAGCCGGCCATTAAAGTGTGTGAGAGAGAATTTTTATAGTCAATTATTTGAATTATTACACATTAACCCCATCTTTTCATTTAATTCTCATTTTATCCCCATAATTTTCTAATTGATTTCTTCTCTTATCATTTCATTTCAATTTTTCCTTTGACATTAATTTTTAATTTCCTCAATTTTAATTTAACTCATTTTGTTTCCAAGTTATTTTTAATATTTCATGAAGAATTTAGTCTGGAATTTACATAATTCCTTTAGTGAGGACATCTTCTTATGTGAATCCATATTGCAAAGAGATAAAACTTGCCTTAATCAACATATATTACAGGGAGAGAGAAAAACATTTCTCATGGAATGAATACTTATTATTATGCATAAACTAGGAAATGTTTTTACTATAATAATCATAATTTTTTTTATAATTTTTACTATAGCAGTGACAAATCTTTAATTTTTATTTTTCTATAGAAAAAAGGTTTTTCTTATATTTTTTTGTAATTGATATATTTATTATTTTACACTTGACCTATTTATTACCATTTTTTTCTTATTTTTATTTTTTGTAATATTTTTTTAGCTTTTCCTTTTCTTTCTTTACACTTTTCTTTTGGGAAAAAAATTATTTTTTATTCTTTATTCTTGGAATATTTATCACTCTACACTTGACCTATTTATATTATTATTTTTATTCTTATCTTTTTTATTTTGTAATTTTTCTTTTAAAAAAATATTATACAAAGACTAAGAAAATGATGTTTCACTAAAGTAATGAGATCTTTGTTCTATTTTTCTACTACATTGAAAATTAGTTTGAGGTATTACAAGTTTTTATTAACATATAATCTTTACTTTATTTTATTATATGTAAGCATTAAATTATTTATTCATAATTTTTTTTCATGACAAAAAAACATGTTAATAAAATCTATATATTAATTCTTTTATATTAAAAAAAATTATTCATCATGTAGTGAGGCAAGTAGGATAAACGACAAAAAAACATGTTAATAAAACTTTTATATTAATGCTTTTATATTAAAAAAAAAATTATTCATTATATAGTGAAGCAAGTAAAATAAACATGACAATATTTTTATTTTTGTATTTATTGGCACAAATAATTTTTAATCTATTTAATTAAATGCATGTATATAGTTTTTGATTTATGATTAGGATTGTTTTGTGTTAAAAACACATTTGAAAAACTTGCGTTTTTATTTTTTTCCACCAAAACAGTTAATAATTAGTATATATATTAAAAGAAAATTCATTTTTACTTTATAAATGACAAATGACATGATTGAAAACTTTTCTAATTTTTACTGTAGTGGTAATAAATCTATAATTTTTTTTCTAGTTTTTTCCATAGTATGGATTGCCATGAACTGGAGTGAGACGTTTTGCTTGATTTCCTGTGTCATCGGGACATGAACCATAAATGACTTTTCTTCTGTGAAGAACATCTTGTTCCTCCATAAAAAGGTCCTTGACAAAGTTTAACATGTTACTGTAAGTCAAGACAAGGGCTAAGTAAGAGATAACATTGGTAAGAGAATTGCGGTTCCTACGTTGTATTGTATGCAGATAACTCCTCTTCGCTTGAAATAACCAATATTTTTGTTTATTATAGGAAAGACATGATAAGAAAATTCATTTAAAAAGATGCCGAGTCAAATTATCAAAAAACTTGCAATCCTTCCACACCATCGACTTAATCGATGCATCATGCGGGTAAACATTAGGCTTGACCCATTGATCATGCACGCTTGGCCACGAGCACAAAACATAATGCCAAAGAAGCTGACTTGAATATTGTGGATAGAGGAATCCCATATTTTCCTTTTGCAAACAGGCCTTTCAGAAATGGCCAGAAGCATAAGACCACCATTAAGCTACACAATATCTCTCCCAGCCCTGAGCCATCGTTAACTGATAGTTGCATGCCTCGGAATCCCATGATCAATGCCGTGAGTTGCAGCAGCAGAACGGTTGTCCCAGGCACAAAAATCAGCGAAGCATCGAAGGTGAACCTGCCTTCATCGCCATCATTACTTGAAGATTGGTCTTTTGGTGTAACTTCAAAAACTGCATCTGATATTCTTAAAACCTTCAAGATTACACTTATAAATCCAAATAACCATGCATTCATTGCATTTATTCTAGCCATCCTTTGGTTATTCCACCATGCACGGATTGACAATCCAGTTTCGAGGTACTCTATTAGAGTGTAGATGACGTAACTCAGGAAAAGGGCCATGTAGATATATATGGCTGGCTCATGCACCTGCATTCACCATGAGTAATGCTAAATTGACATGTATATGAACTAAACATAAAAGGGGGAAAAGGGAACAAAGACTGAGGAAAGCTATCTTTCTCTATATGTAAAACTTGAAAAGAATAATGATTTTGGACGTAGTCATTGCTAGCCTCATTTTTTAACATGAAATTGTGTAATTATAGGGTGTGTTTTTTTTAAGTATTTGTTTTCGAAAATATATTTAAATAATATTTAAAATGTAAAATAATCTAAAAATATTTTAAAAAATTAATTTAAAGATAAAAAAATAAAATAAAAAGAAAAATTATCAAACAGTCAGCTACTCATAATAAGACCTTATTTTTTTATTTTTTAAAAATATTTTAAAAAAATTCAATTTTTTTAAATTTTTTTATACATTTTTAAATTATTTTAATATAATAATATTAAAAATAATTTTGAAAAATAAAAAATATTATTACCATCTATTTTATCTATTTTTTATATGGTTAAGGATTTGTTTAGTATTATTATAATTATTATTTTTTAAAATTTATTTTATTTAAAAGTATATTAAAAATATTTTTAAATTTTTTTAAAAAATATATATTAAAATAAAATAATTAAAAATTAATTTTTTAAAAATCATTTTTACAGGACAAACGATTACAAGCGATCGTACATTAGCTGTAAAAGATAGCGGTGACTACTTTAATGACTTGAAAAGCCCTTGTCGCCAGGTGCGTTGAATATATGTCCATCAATTAACAGGTGTCAACCAAGCGTGCAAGAAAGAACAGCTGTAAAGTGATCATTTATGTTTTTTGGCTCACCTTGGGCAGGAAACTCGAGTCGGTGATGGTACAATAAGCTGGCAACACCGCGTAGCAAAGCTCAGGAATAGAGCGTAACCCCCAAGTAAGGAACGAGAGATACACCAAACACTGTCTAAACTGGAGTCTGGCAGTAACTGTGGCAACAATGGGGCTTCTTCTGCTGATCAATATTTCAAGCAAACCTGTTGCCCACCTCTTTTGCTGGGTCATCGAGATCGGTCCGCCCGGAGGGGCACACCCCAGAAAGGCACGAGGATCCGGTGTGCAAAAAAGGGACCTCCAGCCCCTAGCTTGGATCATTAATCCAGTGAGGATGTCTTCTGTTGCGGATCCATATTGCCAACCCACCTGAGATAAAACTCGCCACCAATACCAGTCAGTCATTGTAGATTATGGGGAGGGGAAAAACGCTTTTCTAAGCATGAAAAATGATACATATTTAGCAATTAAACCCTTCGATTTTTGTTCCCACTAACCTCTATGCCCCAGCTAGTACCGTACTCGTAGCCACAACCAGCAACCTGGTGTGCTGCCTCAACTAAGGTGGGAAGATTTTGAGGACTAATATTTTCCTTCCCTTGTAGTGCATGAGCAGCTGATCTGATAAACTCCTTTGAACCGCCAAATATCCTTAGCTGCTCCTTGTATGATAAACCACCTTGTTCATAAAAGAAGAAGAAAGGGTGTGATCGATCGATGATTTGCAATAGAAGAGAAGGAATAATTGCTATATAACAAGTACGAGTTGGTGTGACTGCACACTGCATTATTATAAAATAAAAATACGTGATGATGTTATAATTATAAATTAATACAAGATAAATAATCAAAATTAAAGATACAAGAAAACTAATATTTCATCATTAAAAAAATTATATCAGTGATAAAAATTTAAAAACGAAATAAAATCATTTATAGCAATTTAATAGTATTTTATGAAAAAATATATAGTGTTTTTGCTATATAATTTAGTTTTTTTTGTTAATAATAAAAAAAATTAAATACTCTACCAATTTAATATTAAAAACAATTACTAAAGATAATTTTGGACAGAAAAAAAATCATTAGAAAAATATTATAGCAATTGATAATGTTTTATGAAAAAAACTAATAAAATAAAAAATTATTTAAAGAAATACTGTAGCAATTCACAGTATTTTGTGAGAAAAACCACGGCATTTTTCTAGTATAATTTAGTTATATTCTAATTATAATTTTTAACTAACTTTATATTAAAAAAATCAATAAAGATAATTTTAAAAAATATTATGAAAAAACATTACAATAATTTATAGTATTTTAAAGAAACAAATTATAAAATGACGGAGATAAAATCATAAGAAACTATATCAATCCACAATAATTAAACTTTTCCTCACATATTGACAACAATAAAGATAATTTTAAAACAAATCATAAAAAAAACTTATGTGAATAGACATCGTAAAAATCCATAATGTTTTGTGAGAAAAGTTATAGTTTTTTTCCCACATGATCAAACTTTATTATAAAGTTAAATTCTAACCAACTTAATAAAAAACAATCAACGAAGATAATTTTAGAAAAAAAAATATATCATAAAAAAAGAAAACACAAAAGAAATTGAAAAAAAATATATGAGGAAAAATTGCATTGATTCATAGTGATTTGTGAGGAAAAACTTGTATTTACTTATAATTGCAATTCTTAATCAATTTAATATTTAAAAAAATAAAATTCACCAAGATAATTTTAGAAAAAAACATGATAAAATAGAAAAAAAAACCATGTAAAAAAAAACACTATAGCAATTCATAGTAATTTGTGAGGAAAGTTAAAGTACTTTCCTCACATATTGTAACTACAATTTTTAATCTACTTAATATTAAAAAATAAAATAAAATAAAAAGATAATTTTAAAAAAAATTCATAAAAACAACAAAACAAATCATGCGGAGAAAAACTACATGGAAAATCACCACAACAATTTACAGTATTTTTCAAAAAATAATGAAGTGAGATTTTTAACCAGCTCAATATTTAAAAAATAAAATCAATAAATAAATTTTTAAATAATAAATAAGAAAAAGAAGAAAGCTAGAAAAAAAGGAAAGTAATTTTGGAAAAAAGATAAAGAAAAAAAAGAAAAAAAATGAAAAAATGAAAAAGAGTAAAAATAAGGAATGAAAAAAAAAACAAAGAATGCATGGTAGATAGTGCAATTGGATGTGGAGAAATTTTTGAAAAAACATATTATAAAAAAATACAAAACAAAACTGAAAAAACACATGTAAAGAAAAACTATATCAATCCATAATATTTTATAAGGAAAAACTTGTATTTATTTATAATTGCAATTCTGAACTAACTTAATATTTAAAAAATAAAATTAACCAAGAAAATTAAAAAAAAAACATAACAAAACAGAAAAAATCATATGAAAAAATATTATAACAATCTACAGTAATTACAAGAAAACTTATTACGCCTTCCTCACATATTATAATTGTAATTTTTAATCAACTTAATATTAAAAAATAAAATTAAAAAAATAATTTCAGAGAAAATCATAAAAAAAACAATAAAAAAAATCATGTGGAAAAAACTATATTGAACAATACCATAACAATCTATAGTATTTTAAAAAAAATTATAAAGTAAAATTTTTAACCAGCTTAATGTTTAAGAAGTAAAATCAACAAAAACAATTAAAAAGAAAAAAGATGAAAGTTGGAAAAAAAAGTAATTTTGAAAAAAACAAACAAAAAAAATACATCATAAATTACTATTATAATTCATAAAATAATTTTAGATATAAAAACAGTAATTGGATGTATGTATGCATAATTACCATGAACTGGAGTGAGACGTTTTGCTTGATTTCCGATGTCATCGGGACATGAACCATAAATGACTTTTCTTCTGTGAAAACATCCTGTTCCTCCATAAAAAGGCCCTTGAATCCCAGCTGCTCCCTTCCCCATGTACTAACCAGTTCAAACATTCAAAGCCAATTAATGACCAATATATATTACTCTTCTTCGCAGAGTTGAGAGAGAGTTTGTGCAACTTTTTATGTATAGATAGGATTTTGGACGCCCTTACTTTGTGTTCAACCACGAACTGGTTCCCAAATGGATCATCCTTGAGTCCATCATAGAAACATTGAGGACACTGAACAAACCCGCTTTCTCTTTCATCATTGGAACCGAGTAACAGACACATCGCATGCAGAAAAATCTGTGGATTGTTGACAAACATGTCGCAGTCCACGTTCAACATGAATGGAGCATTTGTTATCAATCCAGAGACTCTGGTCTGTTCATCATGAAAAAACAAACAAACAAATAAATAAATCCTGGCCATAACGGCGGGTTAATTAACAAGTATAGGCTGGGATATAAGTTCAAGATGTGGACTGCCAGTACACTGAATGCAAGAACTGTGATTTTGAAAAGAAAAAAAACTTACTAAGACGTTCATGGCACCTGCTTTATAGCGATGTGGATGCTCTGGCCTCTTCTCTCTTGATACGTAAATTAAATGCGGCAATGCTTCTGAAAGTCCAGCATCATTCTGGTCCCTTATAACCTACAAGAAATTTGTCTAAAATTAGCAGGGATTGCACGTTCAAGATCTGAGAAACTTAATAAAAAAAAAGAAGCAAAAATTACCATGCAAAAGAGCATCATATGTATATATATATATAAAAAGAAAGCACCTAAAAACAAAATAATAATAGCAGTAGTGATAACCATCATGAATCAACATATGCCTTGTAATGCGTGAACCTTGATAATAGTCGGATGGTTTTTGCGCTCCATATTCGAGAAGACGGCAAAATCACCGATTAGATCCCACTCCATGGATTTTTCGACTGCATCTTTGATTTTGGAGGCAAGCTCCTCATACCCATCCTACCAAGCATGAAAACAAAACATTTTCGTACCATTTGTAGTTAGTCCAACCACTTCAATTTTGTTCTATTATCTTATATATATATATATATATTACACCCTCAAGAATTTCTAAATGGCATTCCTAGGTGCAATGCATATTAACATTAAGCTATATACAGAAATTAATTATATTAATTTTGATATAATTATTGTATTTATTTTGATATACACGACATTTTTATTCCCTAAAACATTCATGTCATCTCTACTTCGGTACACTTTTTAATTTGTAAATAAAACTTGACTTTGTTTGTAGTTATTTTTTAAATAATTTTTTATTAAAATATATATTTATGATTTTTTTTTTTAAAAAATTATTTTTAATATTAGTATATTAAAATAATTTAATAATATTAAAAATATATTAATTTAAAATGAATAAATAAATAAAATAAAATTTAATTTTTTTTAAAACGTTTTAGATATGATAAAGTTATGCTCGGTGGTGGTGGGTACTCTAGCAAAGAGAGAAACAAATACTGAGAGATAAGATTAATTAATTCCCAAGTCCAAAACTACCTTCATCTTGTTGTATTCTTGCTGGAATTCCAAGGAATTACAACTGCCGGTTAAAATGAGCTCACTAGAAAAGTATCTGAATGGAGCTCTAGTTTGAATGTTATACTTCTTGCAAAATGGAACCCAAATCTTAGCAAACTTGGATGCTTCAACAAGAGAATAGTAGGTTATAGGGGAGCAACCATCATCCGATACATAGCAAGCTAGTTTATCTGCTGGATAGTCAACTGCCAATAAGGATATGACTGTGTTTACAGTGAGTATTGACGGTTCAAGCACCGGGTCTGCGCTTGTCACAAACATATCCACAGGAGGAAGATCCTGTGCACTAGTAAATTTTCAAAGAGAAACAAAATGACAGCAATATAGTTCAGAACCTAAGGTTTTATATTATATGCGTGTGCTTGAAAGAAAGGAGTAATTAGCATGGCATGTTACTGTGAAAAAGAGTGTTACTTCTGTGAAAGTCGTTCTGGGTATGTCTTGTATTCCACTGGATTCCATTTGCTACTGACAGTGACAACCCAGATGAAGGTAAAGCATGACTCGCATAGGAGAGCGAGAACCCAAGCAAATCCATGGTTGCTGAGATAGAGAAGACGATAAACGAGGAGAGATACGAGAAGGAAGAAGATGGTAATGTCGAAGGCTCTGTGTATAGGGTATTTAAGAACAACTTTCTGGAATAAATTTGGCGGAGAGATTGCTTTGGCCATTGAAGATGGAACTGGAGTTGGGATGATGGACTTGTCACACTGTGGTACGATGAACGCAGTTGGAAGTATATAGTGCCTGTCTGGCAATTCTGACCATGTGTTCTCCGTGTGGCATAGAATTATTCACTTCTTGACTTGGGTTAAACTTAGATAGGCTACAGTGCTATATTGCAGAACTGATTTTTAATATAAAAAAAATATTTAGCAGTTCCCATGTTTTTTAAAAAATAAGAACATTTTGCTATTTAAATCACTTCATTAATTTAATAATATAATTAAATAAAATATCAATGATAAATAAAAAAATTGATAATAATTCACCATAAAAAACAACCTATAAGTATCATACTTGGAAGGGAGAAATAAAAAACTTGTCGAAGACTTACATCAAGAAGGTTTTAACGCTATCATAAAAAACTGTATGATGACAATGAAAAATGCAACTTGTCAAAGTAATGACTAGAATGCAAATTAAATAAAACATTTTATATTTATATTTAATTAATTAATTTAACTTGATTTAAAAATAATTTTTTTTTAAAGAAGCTAAATTTAACAAAGAATAATAAATAAAAAGTCATGAGATAAATTGAATTATTTTCAAATTCAATGAAAAAATTTTAAAGAAAAAATAAAAAATTCTAATATTCAATTAAATAAATGTTGAAGAATGAAAAAAATATAAATAAATAAAAAAACAAGCGAACCTAGTTAATCTCTTAAATCTTAGTTAATTTTTCAAACTCTTAATTCATGACATCTCATATTTAGATTCAATTAAGAAACTTGATTTTATATCAATTTAATATTGAATAACGAAATAAAAAAAATCAATTTCAAATTTTTTTAATATATAAAAAAATAATGATCAAATTTGACAGGAAAATAAAAACTAAAGGATGATGAAATCATAAAAAAAATATTTTTTAAAATTATCTCAAATAAAAAAATAGTAATCAAAAGAATTACAACAAAAATAAAAAAAAATTAAAAAAATAATAAAATTAAAAAAAAATCTAATTTTATAAATTATTTTAAATAAAATAAATAATAATAACTCTTTTTAAAACATTCTTTTTACAACATTCTAGAAGCTATATTATTACCTGTGTAGTTAAATTTCAAAGGCATATGAGGTTAGAAAAGCCCATGAAATATTTGCTATATTATTAAAATTGATTTAAACTTCTTATTTAATATAACTCTTCTTATTTAGAAAAGCCTAAGATGTTCTTGGCAGTACTTAATTAGTCTAAAAGAGCTGTAATATAGAATTTTGATTGGGAAAAAAATTGAATAATAAAATGTTGAATTGGGATTTTTGGTGTGATAATCTTATTTGATAAAATATCATGCTATTTTATTTAAAATGAAATAAGCAACCTTCTGTTTTGAAAAACAAATCACCTTTTGAAGTAAAAGTTAATATATCTTCAAGATTATCTATAAAAATTTAAGTGATTTTTAAGATTCTTATAAGATATATATATATATATATATATATACACATTTTGGATTACTTTACTCTAAAGCAAAATAATACAAGTGAGGAAAATAGACTTGTACCTTCGTTTCTTAAAAAATCATTTAGTTAATTAAATTGTGTCGGTTGTCTACATTAGACCATACACAAAAAAAAGAGTTATGTAAATGACTTGTAAACCTTGATATTATAAATGCTAAAATAATTCATTAGTTTTAATTAACTAAATATTTTTTTTAAAATTTATTCTTTTAAAACCACAATTAAAGTGTTTTTTTTAAAAAAAATTTTAAATCATAACTATAAAAAATATTATAATACCAAATATATACTAAAACACAAACTATTTAAAAATACATTTTATTATCAAATTAAAAAATAAAAATAAAAATATTTGTCATGATAAAAGAATCATGTGTCAGCAAACACAACTATCTCATAATGTTTGAAGTGCAATAATTGATCGAGTGCTTTTGCTAAAGCAAAGTGGGTGGTACAGAAACAATGAACATGGCTTCTGAGGTAGTATTTGTACTATGATAGTGTGTTTTTAAATAATTTTATAAAAAATTTATTATAATAATATTATTTTATTTTTAAATTAAAAAACTATTTTAAAAAAGACTATCTAGAATTTTAGCATTATCTTCATCACTTACTATTGACTATCTAGAATTTTAGCATTATCTTCATTCACTTACTATTAAAAAAAGAAAAAGAAAAAGGAAAAGGAAAGAAAAGAAACCATTCTGCCATGATTAACTGGGAAAAAAAAATATTTAAAAGGAGAAAATCTCTGCTATATTCATTATCATGTCCCGTGACTCCTGCCCACATTGCAACTGACTCCATGGCTCTCCATTTGAAAAAAAAAAAAAAAAGAAAAAAAAAAGAAAAGAAAAAGAAAAAGAAGCAGGAATGATTTTCCTTACTTTTAGCAAACCGACACCGTCTTTAACACAGAACAAGGGTCAGATTCATTAAAAAAAAAAAAAAACCCAGCGGAGTGGAGAGTAATGATAAGAGGAGAGAATAATAATAAAGAGTATGTTACTGTTCGCAGGTAGAGTGATCCCAGACTCATCATCATCAGTTTCCAGAATCTTCGCCGTCGCCAGTAGAAATCCCTTCTCCATCTCCGGTTCACGCTTTCAAGTTCGTGCAATGGCCGGCTCTGCATCTCAACCTTTCAAGAAAATCCAAATCCAGAGAGACGATACTGTCAGTTAGTCAGTCTTTATTCTTTTTTTTTTAAAGAAAAAAATTTAGATTTTGGCTGTCAATCTGTTATTTCATTACATAATGGTTGGTATTTATTGTTTGATTGGGTGATCAGACATTTGATGCATATGTTGTCGGGAAAGAAGATGCTCCTGGTATTGTTGTACTTCAAGAGTGGTGGGGTGTCGATTTCGAGATCAAGAACCATGCTGTCAAAATCTCCCAACTTGGCCCTGGATTCAAGGCCCTTATTCCAGAGTATGTACCCATAGATAAATCTATCTCTCTCTCTCTCTCTCTCGCTTTACAAATGCTAGTTGAATTCAAGGGATATATCATTTGTTCAGTTTGTATCGAGGAAAGGTCGGATTGGACGTTGCTGAAGCTCAGCATTTGATGGATGGTCTTGATTGGCAAGGTGCTGTCAAGGATATACAGGCTTCGGTTAATTGGCTCAAGACAAACGGTTCAAGCAAGGTATTAATATCATCATCGTCGTCGTCGTCGTCTTCCTCTCAATTCCACTTCTTGCTACAACTTATCAAAACTGCCCTTTTGGATCATTCCTTTTTTTTTTTTTAACTCTGTACTCAAAAATTGGTGACTTGGTTAATGCCTATAAAATGTTTGGTTGAAATTTTTGTCAAATTGTTGGATATAGGGTAATGTGGTTTTTCAAAAGTACGCCTAAGCGTTATGTGGTCTTGTTCACTATTTGCTATTCATGGAGGTAGGATTTGTGGGCAGCTTATGTTACCTGATGGTGTGGAGAGTCAATTTGTAAACCAGTGAAGCAGCTTGTGTTACTGTTATGTCTTCATGTCTAATTGAGATGGAGGTGGTAATTATATAGGAAATGAATAGATGGGTGTGTGTGTGATTAGGAAACAAGTAGTTGCGACTTCTTTCTTTTATGAGTATAGCGTCGGCTGATTTTTACAGAAAGTTGGCTGTTTGAACATGCCATCAAAGCTCTTGATAGATTGACGGGGACGGAAATTTGTAGTTGGAATGAATGATTTTTTCTTTTGCTAATAATTGTAGATAGAAACAAGCTCCAGACATGTTTGAGAGGATTAAAGTGGAATGTGTGTGTCCACATGACACTACTTTTGTTGTTCCACTTTCCGTTTGTGTTCTCACCATGGTAGTAGAGATTGCTTTGGAGTTGTTTCAGTTAAATGTTGAGTGAGTTTGGGGTGATAGTAATATTGGAGGAATTATGGGTCTATTGATCACTTGGCAGGACATGATTACTGGTAGAATAAAGTGAAATTACAACAAGAATGCCTTTTGAGCCTGCCTGGGTTTTGTGGGTACTTTTAGGCGCTTGTAAGATTCATGGAGCAGTTGAGATGGGGAATGAAGTGGGGAGGAGGTTACTTCAATTGTAGCCACACCATTGTTGGGGATGTATGGTGTTATCAAATAGTAATGTGGGTGTGGGGACATGGGGTCTTGGTGATCATATGAGGAAATTAATGGTAAGAGGATGGATTAGGAAACCCCCTACCAATGGTTTGATTGATTTTGCTTGGAGATGAAAGTTTAATTTTGCATTTCAATTTATATGTTGATAGATTTTAATGATGGCATATTGGGAGATCAGGGATCAGTGATGGAAAAGTTGAACATAAAATGCTGATCTTGACACTCATTTAGTATCATAGTGTTTGACAGAGAATTTGGCCCTAAACATAACAGTATGGAGGCATATAACAATAGCACATTTAGCTTAGGATTGAGGGTATGTTGAGTTGAGTCCTACATAGTAAGTGATCCCATTATTTAATAGTTTCTGCAATAGGTTTGTTCAAGAAAATAATACACGAACTCAGGTTGGTGTCTTGGTGTCTTGATGGGCCTTTAAACTTTGGAGGGATACTGGGGGATTTGACTTGCTCCTTCAGCTGCTCCTGTAGACTATAGCTAGAGTGGCCTAGAGAATTGAAACTGTTACTTGCACTTAGAAGAGGCTGAAATCATCAATTTTGTTTGTGGAATTGTTAACCATGTTGTCATGCTTCTTTAAGTCTGCCATCAATTGGTTTGGTGCTTTCACAAATCTATTCTACCTTGTATAAATAAAGTAGGAGAGAAGTTGATTGGTTTAGCAAGTTCTGAAGATTGAATTAAGATGCTAAATAATTTTGTGATTCTGCGATAGGCTGGAGTAACTGGATTTTGCATGGGGGGTGCGCTCTCTATTGCAAGTTCTGTTCTGGTTCCTGAGGTTGATGCTGTTGTTGCATTCTATGGTGTTCCTTCATCGCAGCTCGCTGACCCTGCTCAGGCTAAGGCACCTGTTCAGGCTCATTTTGGAGAGCTTGATAATTTTGTTGGCTTTTCAGATGTTACGGTATGCCAATTTCTTTTGAATTCGTCAATGCTAACTAATATCTGCTTCCTTCAGTTTTCCTTTAGAGTTATCTACTTGTCCTTGCCTGTGATGTTCTTTAGTAAAACTGCTCATGGTACTTGTTATATTCCTCTTTGGATGTATAGATTTTCAGCTTCAAATTCCTCCATGAATGAGAGCTTACTTACAGGTTCTACGTGTGGGTTGTAATCACATTCTCAAACTGCAGCGCTTGAAGCTGTACTGCAAGTAGTTAAACACGTTTAAAAGTGGGAATTGTATCTTGGATTATTAATATTATTACGTTCAATGAATTTGCTGTTAGTAATCTTCATTCTTTAAATTTGAAGAGCAAAACAGAAACTGTTCATCAAAATCAAATATGAGGAGAAACACATTTACTGAGATAAATACAACATGTGAACAATGAAAGCTTGCATCTGACTCCCTCGTAATTATAATAAAGTTATATCTTTTGTCTTTCCCAATTGTTTGCCTTTGTATTCTTTTCCTCAAGAGTGCAGTCAAGCCAATATAATATGTCGCCTTAAATCTAATTCAGGCAGTCAACAAAATTTACAAGTCAACTGAAAAAGGAAATCTATAAACAATGGTAATTGGTTGTGTGCCCATTTTTTTGCTTGAAGTTTGTCGTCATACTTCAAATAAAATCTGTCTGACACATCTGAAGTTATGTCCTGAGAAAATCTCAAAGCATGGCCTCTGCTCTTTTTTCTTGATTTGTTTCTCTTTTCATTCCTTTCATTTTTTGTTTCCGGAATACTCCTCCATATGCTCATCTTACGAAATGGATCACAAAGTTATGAACTACCTTGTTTAATTATTTATGAGGTTCTCTGCTTGGAAAAAAAAGAACTATCTGAGATTTAGCCATATGTTCTTCTAGTATCCTTACTGAGCTCAGAGGTTAGATATGCATTGATGTATAGTAGTGTAGAAATGGTTTACTGTTGAATTTACATTGTTTACTGAGCTATTTTTCCTTGAAACGCTCTGTCAGCCTATGGATATTGCATGCGAGATAATAGATAGATCATTGATGGATATACATTATTACACTGAATTTTAGAGCTGCATTTGATCCGGGTTACCTCCAAATAAAATATAAATCTTCTCATGCTGTTATTAATTTTGATATTTTAGGCTGCCAAGGCTCTGGAGGAAAAGCTGAAATTGTCAGGAATTCCATATGAGGTACACTTGTATCCAGGCAATGCACATGCTTTCATGAACAGGTCTCCAGAAGGTGTGAAGAGGAGGAAGGACATGGGGCTGTCTGATAAGGATGAAGCTTCTGCTGAGCTGGCTTGGTCCCGATTCACAACATGGATGACTCGTTACTTATCTGCATAAGTGAGTGGTCGGTTTGATATATCCATCTTTCGTGCTTGCTATCTATAGCTTAAATAGCAGCTTGGTATGTTACCTAGATGTAAGTTGGAAGGTCTGGGATAAATTATGTGCGCTCCCCTCCTGTGCAAGTCTGATAATGGCACAAGTGATGTTTGTAAAGTGATTGAGTTTGTTTTTAACAGCTGCTGTTGTGATTTGGCATGTTACCCTCGTTTCTTGCCTGGAATTTAAGCTTCATGGATTTTTATGTCTCTAGATCTCTTTTTCTCGAAACTGGACTCCCAGTATGCTCCATGCAGCAATCCTGCTTAAATGTCGTTCTGTAAGCACTGTCTCCATAAAGTCCCAGAGAACAGGCAGTGTATAAATTTGGTTTGTCTGGTGGTTGATTGTCATCATCCCGCACATGTACATTGACTGCCTGGACGAATAAAAAATAGTGAAACATAATGATCTGAGTGGTTCTTTTTCTTCTTATTGCTCATTTTCATCGGACACAAGCTTTCTGAGGGGGTAGAATAGAAAACTGTTTCATTGTATATCTTTTATAATAAAATCTCGGATTTTCTTATAAAAATTGTGCTAGTAACAATTTTCAAGAACTCTGAAGTTGTTTCTTCTTTTGGTCAAACACAGAAAAACTTTCTGACTCTTGAATAAAGAGTATTCAGGAGCAGCGTAGGATAAACTTGAGCTCTTGGATGGACAAGCTCTTGGAAGAGCTGGTGAAGTTTTTGATGATATTAGATATTATATAAGTAGCTGTCGTGTTTGGATGTTTGAAAATACTTTAAAGGCCAGATGTGGATATAGTCGTATATGATAGGAGACTGTTCATGATGAATTATACCTGTTAATTTCTTGTATTTTTTCAATTAATTGAAGTTTGTGTACATTCATGCAAGTAATTTGTCACATATGCATGTTGACGAAGAAGATTTTAGACTCGTCGATGCAATCTCTTCCACACACACCAGGACAGGGAGGAGTTGTAAAAATGTTTCCCACGGAGTAGTTGAAAAGCACTTCCAAATAAAGGCTTATTTGAAACTCTCAGCTCTTCTCTCTTTTATTGTTTTTGGAAACGGAAGCGCTTTTAATAATTAAAACAACGAAGAGGCTGATTTGTGTGCTGCCTAACATTCTTAGAGCTTGGAGAGCAGGAGAGCCCAAAGAGTTTTTGTCCTTTTTCTCTTATTTTCTCCAGAACCCCAGCTGGGAATTATTAATGCCAAGCAGGCAGATGGGCTTCAAGAAAGGGATGGATGTTGTAGGAGCGGAGAAATCTTCCATTGGACAGCATGCTAACTTTATCAAAAATGGTCCAGGCTCGACGTATTCTTCAAATCCAAACAAAATGGACCGCGTAAGATCTTGCAAAGTTCCTCCATCTTGCTAGTAGCTACCTAGCTAGGATACAAGAACGATCAAGGTGGGGCAAAACGAAAAGAATCTCCCTCTTCCACACGTCTCGTGTCCTCTGAGCTCCTTGTCAAAGAGACGAAGATACTGGAACCCAATCTTTTTGGGCTAAATATGCTTTCATAATCACTGCTTTCAACTAGTCTGGTTTCACACGTGGATTGAATAGATGTTTGGTGTGTTTTCTCAGCGAATTACTTCTTTTATTTTTTTTAATTAATATAGTTATTAGGAGAAAGTTATATATCTTAATTAATTTTATAAATTTTAAAATTAATAATTATATAAATTTTTAGTGGCTTTAATATTTATAAGACTTGAATTAGTTACTATTTCTTTTATTGCTTGTTTATTACACCTAAATTATTTGATATGTAAAAAAATCTTTGTGATCTTTTCGGTATTATGATGTACATTCATATTTGAAAAAAAATCTTACAGCCAACTTTAGCTTGGATTTTAAATTAAATTGTTTGTAAATTATTTTAATATAACTTTATGGATTCTAATGGATAAGTTATTTTTTTATTATATAATAAAAAATATATAAAAACTGATTTTATAGTTTTTGTTATTGCTTCATGGTGCACCATTCATCACGAAAACATTTCATTTTTATTTTTTATTTTGTAATGATATAAAATGTGCAATGTGTGTTTTATAATAAAAATAATTTTAATTTAAAAAAATATCAAATTAATATTATATCGATTCAAATGCACTCGTCATCTACATTATGGGCCATGGAAAAGCATGTGTGTGAAAAACCCTCTCTTGTTGCTTGTTGTGGGTCATATTTTACAGCTACCGATTAATAATACACTCTCTTTTCTTGTTGAATTTGAATATGATTAAAAATAACTATGCATTATGTATGAATAAAGTATTCTCTTTATATATATATATATAAACAACGTGACATTACTGTTATAATGGTGGCTAAGAAGCTCCAGCTACAAACAAAAACACATTATATTTTGTGGAGGAAAGCCATCGCCCTGAAATGAATGCAACACGAGGCACGATATCTTTACTAGCACTGTATCAATTTTATAAAAGGTGAAGAATCTTCATATTTCTAGTTCTTCAATTAATTTAAGGAGGATACTTTATATATATATATATATTTCCGTAATAGTTTTTATTTATTTATTTCAATCAAGACAAGCACCCCTATGTCACCACTGTTTTGAAGAATAATAATAATAACAAAGAAATTTATTATAAATCCACTCTGTTCTTGGGTGAAATTTCAATTTTTCAAAAGCACAACACCCGATTTTATAACTTTGTTTTTATCAATATTATTTTTAATCCATCACGACAAAATATCCCCGTGAAAAGGAGTTGCCGATGCTTTTATTTTTATTTTTATTTTTATTTTAAATAAAATAACAAACAAGTAGGTGACTCCAGCAATCTATATTCTTAGAAATAATTAATATCAGATTAACGTGTTAATGGATCAGTTAATTAATACTTAAAACTAGAGCTAGAGACTATTTAATTTACTTCACTATAAAACTAGAGAGATTAATTTATAGTTGGCTCAAAAAACAAAGATTGATGAAAGCATTTACATATTACTCTTGATCAAGATGTTGCTGGCTTGCCGGTGCCTCTATCTCTGGTAGTCAGGCATGCCTCCTCCATCATCTTGAACGATGAAGAAAGAGAGGGAGACGAGGGATAATGGCTGCTAGGTTTAGGTTTCCTTCTCCTTCTTGTTCCTGTTCCTGTTTTTTAACTAAAGAAGAACTGTTAGAACAACAAAGATTTCTGCTAAATTGGGAAGCATGTTTTCCATTTTGTTTTCATACTTTCTTCTTTAATGTTCAATTAGATTATTACCTGGTCATCTGAGTGGCTTTCGTTTGAATCTCCAAGGAAACCAGTTTGAAAGGATCATTCATTATTGTTGACTCCCCTTTCTTAAAATATGACATGCTATACAGTATAATTTATTTATTTTTCTCAATCATTTATTATTATTATTAAAACAGAAGGAGTGTTGAAGCTTGAAGGTTGGTCCCTCGTTAAGAACATGAGATTAAATGTGTGAAAAGCATCTTTGTCATCTCAGGCAGAATTACTCTGATCTAGGGCATCGTTTAAATTTTAGTTCCAAGTTCAATGGTCTGCACAGCTCATATCCAGTGACGTCTTCTTTGGTTGTTATTGTTAATTATCATGATTTTGTGTTTTCAACTAAAGAGTTTTATCTAATCTTCTCAAAGATGATGATAAGCGTACTCACAGTCGTCGTCGTCGCCGTCGCCGTCATCGGAATCCCAGTTGTTTTATATCTTTTCTCAATATTTTATTAACGTTGTAATATTCCTTCTATTTGACACTAAAGTATGAGATTTATTTTGTACCGGATTTTTAGTTTAATTAAATAAAACATTAATTTAATTAATAATAGTTGCTTCAGGTGATTTGGTGTTTATTTTTTTAAAAATAAAGTATTTAATTTCAGTTTTATAAATAAAATATATCAAATAAAATACATTATTATTAAAAAAACTTTAATTTTTAATGGGTTGACTTGACTTGACCGAATAAGTTAGAGTTTAGTGAATATCTAGATATTAGAATTTAAAAAATTAAAAATATTAATTTAATAAAATTTAATTAATTTGTTAGAACATGTGAACTAATAATGTATTAGGATTTTCATGACTTGATTAACTCTGTTATACCCAACTAAAACATTATTAAAAAAAATATAATTATTTTAATAAAAATAATTTACCTAAAGTTTTTTATGGATAAATTCCCAAATCAGATACGAAAACAATGATAATTTATAATTCGTGGAAGGGTCCATTTTGGTTAATCTATATTTATTGTCCTCACCAACAGTTTCACTGTTTGGAGTTCTAAAGATATCAAGCTAATTTATATCGCTAACCAACTTATTCGATCATTTTGATTTTAATTATTATAATAACTTATATTAGCTAGGGTATCCGAAAGATTATTAAACCTAATTAAAAATTAAAATAAAAAATTTATCTTTCTGGTAAAGAGAAAAATGTAGATGTCATGAAAGTAACATTCAAGTTTTTTTTTTTATGTAGTTATATGGAAATAAAAATGAATATTCATAAGAAAAGAAATTATTTAAATCCAGTAGAAAAATATTTTTTTTATCTAAACTCTCCTTTTATCATTAATTCATGTTTATTAACAAAAATATATATATGTTTTTAGCCACGTGGTTAATTTAATAAAAGATTAAGGCAATTTAAATAAATATTAAAAAAACCTAATGATTTAAAATAAAATAATATATATATATATATATCTTTAAACAAAAAAATAAAAATAAAAACCTTACTTTTTTCATGCACTATTTTGTTTTTGATAAAAAAATGTCTTTTTTATCAGAATTATTATTTTGTAAATTAAAATTCATCATAATTTTAAAAGCAAGTTTTAATTAAAAAAAATATGAATTGATAATGTGTTTAAAATTAAAATAAATTAAAAAATAAAAATATTTACAATAAAAAGTTATTTCATTCATATTGAATATTCATAAGTAAATGTTTTATTTTAAAAATACATATTAAGTTAACATATAATAATTTGAAAAGTAATTTTTAGTATTATCATTAAAAGCTCTAATATTATTTGAAACCTATAACATAATCAGAAAATTATTTAAATATCACTTTAATAAATTTATTTAAAGAAAATCTTATTATAAAATGCAAAAAAAAATCAAATTAAAAAAAAAAACTAAGAACCATTATATAAAAAAAAAATCAGGCAT